TCCGCGGTTAAGCCTATATTACACTTGTATTGACCAAATTTGTTTGGCATCTGGTTTAAGCTATATTACACGGTCTATTGACCAAATTTTGGTTAGTATATGGTCAAGCTATATTACAACGTCTATTGACCAAATTTGGTTGGCATATGGTCAAGCTATATTACACGTCTATTGACCAAATTTGGTTGGTCATCTGGTTAAGCTATATTACACATGTATTGACCAAATTTGGTTGGCATCTGGCTAAGCTATATTACAACTTGTATTGGACCAAATTGGGTTGGCATCTGGTTTAAACTATATTACACTTGTATTGACAAATTTTGGTTGGCATCTGGTCAAGCTATATTACACACGTTCTATTGAACCAAATTTGGTTAGCATATGGTCAAGCTAATATTAACGTCTATTGACCAAATTTGGTTAGCATATGGTCAAGCTATATTACACGTCTATTGACCAAATTTGGTTGGCATATGGTCAAGCTATATTACACGTCTATTGACCAAATTTGGTTGGCATATGGTCAAGCTATATTACACGTCTATTGACCAAATTTGGTTGGCATATGGTCAAGCTATATTACACGTCTATTCACCAAATTTGGTTGGCATATGGTCAAGCTATATTACACGTCTATTGACCAAATTTGGTTGGCATATGGTCAAGCTATATTACACGTCTATTGACCAAATCTGGTTGGCATCCGGTTAAGCTATATTACACTTGTAATGCCTGTAATGCTATTTGTTCTAGTTATATTCAATTTGTATTGACCTTACTTGGTTGATATCTGGTTAAGCTATAATACAGTTGTAATGTCCGAACTTGGTTGGCATTTGATTTAGCTATATTACACTTGTATTGAATGAACTTGGTTGACATCTGGTTAAGTAATGCCCGAATTTGGTGTACATTTGGTCTAGCTATATTACCGTTGTAAGTCCCGAATTTGGTTTGCAATAGAAGCCATACTTTGCAAAGTGCATAAATATGATATCTAAAAATGAATGCTGGAAACCCACAGTCTCTGCATCAAGATGTTTTAATTATGATTTTCTTTAATTATGCAAAAGTTTCAGAAAGTTATCGATCTGTACTAGTTACAAATATGTCATTTCTTTGCCTATATAAAACGGTAGTACAGTAGGCTTTGTGTATTTTTTAAATTAGCGTGTGATTCTCTTTAGAATGATATCAATACCCAGGGTTAATTTAACCAACGTTTATACACTTTGATACTGTTGGGTTTCTGCACGGGCTTTGTCAATTCCGTGGTTTCTGTAACCAACTTATAAACTTATCATACTATCTATATAGCTACAAAATTAATTGACTTAGGTAATCTGTTAGGTAATCTGTTATTTTTATATATATATATATATATATTCGATGCTTTACTGAGAAAAAAAAATAAATAAATGAACGAATGAGAAATTTTACACAATGCACATACAAATAAAAGGGAGCTAATTGTGTGTCGGAGATTTATAAGTCAGGACGTAATAATTCCCCTTACTTCGACTTGATGTGAAGTTATTTGTAATATATATATATATGTGTGTGTTTGAAGGACTGGTTGTAAAAAAGGAGCTGCGTTAACTATCAAAATGAAATAGTCAGAAGGTACATAATATCAATAGGCATGAAACGAAAATATACAGGGGTTATTGACATAATGACGTATCTGTTGCAATTAAGAAAATGATTGATTCACTACACAGGATTTACAAGTGAGCAGTGGTTGTACATGCGATGCATGATCGCGATTCTCCCCAGGAAACCTCTAACAATTAAACAATTTCTCTGTATTACTTCTCTTCACCCATCTGCATCTGTTTGACACGTATCGCTGATGTATATAAACGCATAATGTATGTTAGGAATGTTGAAATCATTTTGAAAACATTTAAGCACATATGATAGATTTGAATGGGATATTTTATTTGTACCTCTAGAAAATTCATCTCCAATAGATATATGCAACACTTCAGCCTTTTGATGTTTTCTTTGAAAACATTTTCATTTTTTACTTAAGGAGCTATGTTAAAAAGATACGAGGTGTTTTGTTCTGAACAAAATTTCGTCTTGAAGGTTTATTTCTATAGCCTTGGGAACAAGATAAAGTCAAATGGTACAATATTAGGGGAATATGGAGCGTGGTTGGGTACAATATCCTGTTCCTGTATGTAACAGAGACTTTGTGTGACAAAGCATTGTCAAACAACAGCCAGACATTGTGCTATTTGTCAGAGTTTTAATCATACTTTTCCAAACAAAACACAGTCAAACAAATATAAACAATGTATTCAATAATTAATATAGGAAAGGTTTTCACAAATGTACTAATTAATGAATGAATGACTCGTTGTAAACAGACTTGAAATGGTTCAATGGATACTCGAATGATTGATTCGCCATAGTGACACGTCAACTTGATCTACATCTACTCATTTTGCTACATCACCTTTCATACTAATTATTTTTTTATGATTTATGGTTATAGACGATCAAACTAGGACGAACATTTAACATTGACAGAAAACAAAGCGTTTATTAAATTCAAATTTTTTTACGAGCGGTTGAGTAAAGTTCAATAGTCTGTTCATTCGTTCCGGTTCGTTGTTTTTTGGGTTTTTTTATAATTTTATTTTAAGTCCTTACGATACTGTATTAGTATTACTTCGTGGATATATTCTATTCGTCGCGAGGCCTGGATGGTCTGTCTAAAACATGCAATGCGCATAATGTGCGTCTAAATCAATACAAAGCAAAAACAATTTAAATAATTATTATGCCCCCATTTCGAAGAAAAGGGGGTATATTGCTTTGCACTTGTCGGTCCGTCGGTCCGTCGGTCCGTTGGTCCGTCGGTCCGTCGGTCCGTAGACCAAATGGTTTCCGAGTGATAACTAAAGAACCCTTAGGCCTAGGAACTTCAAACTTGGTATGGTGATTGGTCATGACCAGTAGATGACCCCTATTGATTTTGGGGTCAAGGGGTCAAAGGTCAAGGTCACATTGACCTTGTAAGCAAAAACGGTTTCCGATCAATAACTAAAGAACCTTAAGGCCTAGGAACTTCAAACTTGGTATGGTGATTGGTCATGATCAGTAGATGACCCCTATTGATTTTGGGGTCAATGGGTCAAAGGTCAAGGTCACATTGACCTTGTAAGCAAAAAACGGTTTTCCGATCAATAAACTAAAGAACCTAATAGCCTAGGAACTTCAAACTTGGTATGGTGATTGGTCATGATCAGTAGATGATCCCTATTGATTTTGGGGTCAAGGGGTCAAAGGTCAAGGCTACATTGACCTTGTAAGCAATAAAGGTTTCCAATCAATAACTAAAGAAGTTTAAGGCCTAGGAACTTCAAACTTGGTATGGTGATTGGTCATGATCAGTAGATGACCCCTATTGATTTTGGGGTCAAAGGTCAAGGTCACATTGACTTCTTGGGTAAAAACGGTTTCTGATCAATAACAAAAGAACCCTTAGGCCTAGGAACTTCAAACTTGGTATGGTGATTGGTCATGACCAGCAGATGACCCCTATTGATTTTGGGGTTAAGGGGTCAAAGGTCAAGGTCACATTGACCTTGTAGGTAAAAACGATTTCCGATCAATAACGAAAGAACCCTTAGGCGTAGGAACTTCAAACTTTGTATGGTGATTGGTCATGACCAGCAGATGACCCCTATTGATTTTGGGGTCAAGGGGTCAAAGGTCAAGGTCACATTGACTTTGTAGGTTAAAACGGTTTCTAATCAATAACAAAAGAACCCTTGATCTAAGGACTTCTAACTTGGTATGGTGATTGGTCATGGTCAGTAGATGACCCCTATTGATTTTGGGGTCAAGGGGTCAAAGGTCAAGGTCACATTGACCTCTTAGGTAAAAACGGTTTCCGATCAATAACTAAAGAACCCTTAGGCCTAGGAACTTCAAACTTGGTATGGTGATTTGTCATGACCAGTAGATGACCCCTATTGATATTGGGGTTAAGGGGTCAAAGGTCAAGGTCACATTGATCTTTTTAGGTAAAAACTCTTTCAAATCAATAACTAAAGAACCCTTGGGCCTAGGAACTTCAAACATGGTATGGTGATTTGGTCATGACCAGCAGATAACCTATTGATTTTGGGGTCAAGGGGTCAAGGTCACATTGACCTTGTATGTTAAAACGGTTTCCGATCAATTAACTAAAAACACTTAGGCCTAGGAACTTCAAACTTTGTATGATGATTGGTCGTGACCAGCAGATGACCCCTATTGAGTTTTGGGTCAAGGGGTCAAAGGTTAAGGTCATGACCAGTAGATACTTGATAACCCTTATTAATTGTATGATCACCTGGTCAGAAGTCATGCATAATAACCTTATCACATGACTAATTGGCTGCTGATAGGGGGCATACATGTTTTACAAACATATCTTGTTTAATTAAAACAGTCTGATGCATTATATCAGATATTACTATGATTAGTTTGTAATTATTTGATGATTACAGTTCAATAACCGGATTTTATAAATTTTATTTATGCAGTTTGTGTCTGTACGAGTTAGACAAAAGCAATCAGTTTTCTATATATTTGCGAAAAGAGTGTTTGTTTTTCGATTATGTCAATTTCTTGTAAGACTGATAGTTTATCTTGATGTTCATATCACTATTGAGACATGACAAAATATTCACAAATCAACATATTTGACCTACAAATTAACATATTTGACCTACATGTTAGCATAATTATTTGAACTTCAATAATTAATAGTTTTGTATTTTGGTTTGTTTGTTATATCAAGGTTAATAAAAAGAAACAGACCAACAAATATCAGTATCTGTCAAACGTCGGAGCTGACAATGTCACATGATATATATTGTAAAAAGATTTGACTTCGGCCTGTGTCGGCATTTTACGTATGTTTACATTCAATACTTACGCGAAAATAAAATTAGCATTTTTGGTAATGAACACTTCATAATACCGTTTGGGCAACCTTACAATGTCATTGGAGCGTGAGTAATGTATGTGACTCTCTATATATATTTAACGTGTAGTGATTTATTAAATAGTGTTTGGTAACTTTTGACGCGCTTTATTATGCAGTTACTCAATAATTGAAATAAAAAGAAAATGTTTCAGTATTTACTATACGAAGTTTTAAACATTGCATCTGGATTTTCTTTTACGCCTCTCTTGGTTTGTTTGTGCTTAGTTTTGTTAATAGTGATTAATTGTCGGAGACAGCCTGGGGTCCCGCCGGGTCCACCTTTACTTCCGGTTATCGGAAACATTCTGACATTTTCAGCTAAAGATTTACAAGGAACTTTGAACACTTTACGAGTGAAGTATGGGGACGTCTTTAGTTTGTATATAGGCAAAGAACTTGTGATTATTTTGAACGGATACGAGACTATCCATGACGCTTTAGTGAAGAGAGGTCGAATATTTTCTCACCGACCTGAATCAGCGTTCCAAAAGGTTGTTATGCCCTTTACAGGAATTTTGTTTAGTAACGGAAAGACATGGAAAGAACAGAGAACATTTGCTCAGAAAACAGTAAAAGAAATTTGTTTTGAGGACGGGAGTAAAAATATTGAAACAGTGCTTCGTGAAGAAGTTGAAAAAGTTTTACAAAAAATGGACGAATTTGGAACAGATCCATCAGAAATTCAGCGCCTGGTCCAAACTTACTCTCTGAACGTTATTATCAGGATAGTCTATGGAGACGGGTTCAAAGGTGAAAATGAAAACGCTTCGTATCTCATAGATGCGTATCACAACATAGGGATGGAAGTGGCAACAATGCAAGTAATGGTAAATTGTTTCCCATTCCTGCACAGTTTACCCGGTGATATTTTAGGTCTAAAGAAATTCGAGTTGAAACGGCAAAAACTGGAATCAGTCACTAAACAATTTATCCAGAATTCTTTAAACAATAACGAATCGTGCAACAAATCTTTTGTAGAAATGTATAATGAAGAACTGGAGAGGTGTAAGAGTGGAGATAAAGATACTGGTGACTCGTTCTCGGAACGGCGAATGATACATAGCTGTTCTGATCTTATAGGAGCAGGCAGTGATACAACGGCAAACGCTATTGTTTGGATTTTGCTACACTTGGTAAGGGAACCAGAAGTGCAGGAAAAAATGTTCCAGGAAATGACGCAACAACTTGGAGAAAAGACGGAACCTATGCTTTCTGACAGAAAAAGTCTACCGTATGCGCAAGCTGTGATTCTAGAGGGACTTAGAATATCTAATTCTACCCCACTGGCACTTCCACATTCAGTGTCGGAAAATCTATATTTCAAAAAGTATTTTTTTCCAAAGGATTGTACAGTGCTTGTAAATTTGGCATCTGTTCTGAAAGACCCTGAGTTTTTCAAAGATCCAAACATTTTTAAACCAGAGCGATTTCTTAGCAAGGACGGGAGTACGGTTATCGACGTTGATGGATTTGTTCCGTTTTCTGTAGGCCCAAGATCATGCCTTGGTGAGTCTTTAGCTAGAATGCAACTCTTCTTGGTAGTTTCTTCAATTGTGCGTAGATTTAAGCTACTACCAGAAATAGACGGACAACTTCCGGTTGCGCAAGGTCAGCTCAGCACGGTTTACAAGCCACTGCCATTTTTAATCAGATTGCTTAAACGTTAACTCTCTAAATTAAAAACTTATTCCACAAACCCGGTTATCGTAGTCGTAAATGTGTCCCAAATAATATACATTATATTTTCTTTTTACTCATTTTTTCAGTTATAATACCAATCTTATTTTATCGCCAGTCATTTATGACTGCGTCAGTTTTAATTATCTTTTAAAAGAGATGGAAAAAGCATAACTTTAGTGATTTTACGGTGTAAACGAGGCTTTTTAAAGTACCATAATAGAAAAACATTTACGATAATCGTTTGTTATATTTTTATTTTGCTGTGACAATCTTATTTGAATGATTGATGTTTCCCTCAAGGTTAACCTATTTTGTAACTTGAGAGGTGAGCCGAGTTTCGGCTTTATATACACATGTATAACAGAAATCCATTTCATAATTAATAACATTTTGTCATTTAATTTCACATTTTTCACATTTTACTGTTTTGTTAAAGTAGTTAAAGACTATTTATTTTATCTGTTTTTTTTTTTTTGTTTTTTTTTTTTTTTTTTTTTTTTTTTTTTTTTTTACACCAATTTTTTTTTCTTTTGTTCAGTTTACATTATCGTTATTAACGCATACGGTTTTTTTACTTTTTATTTTATTATCCTACAAAAAAGTTCACATGCACATGCATGTACTGGTAAAAAAGATGAATTGGCTGACGTTTATTTTATTTCATTAATTCATTTCATCTGTTGCATCATTTTCATTCTCGTGAAAATATGAAGCACAACTGTAAATTACATTATATTTTAATACATTATTACAATCAACATACATATCTCGTGGTTGAAACTTAACCACGCTTAATATCTTAAATAGACTTCGCCATCTTTCAATGTGAACAAAACCATTGTCTTCGGGATTTTTTTCAAAATATGTACTAATAAAATAGCGAACAGTGCAGACCATGATCAGATGGCAAGTATGTAATGGGTAAAAATTTATCATAGGAGGCATGATTACTTCATATTTTCACACGACGTAAAAAAGATATTTGTAATGATAAACTGCACGTATTTAATAGTTCTCATGTTTGTTATGTAATGAATGGTATATTTAAATTACTAACAATTAATATTTTATTTATATGGGTTGAAAAACATTTACGTTAAATAAATTGATTTAACGTTTAAAATCATTGTTGACTTATTTTTACATGATTTAAAATGCCTTGTTCTTCATTTCTGCGATCTTTAAATTTATCGAGTTACGTCGGTTTACAAAAAAAGTAGATCAGTATTGAATTTCGTGCAAAATAAATTACGCTGTCATTAAGTCAAATGTGAATAAACTTTGTGCTTGAATGCTTCAGATAACCCGATGTTATCGCAGCGATATACGATATCTTTTGGCTGGCTGTCACCCATTTTAAACGGCTATCATTGTAAGATACAATATACAGTTACTGAAGGAACAATAGATTAAAACCGTCGCATTTGTCATGAAATCTATTTGAGAAAAAATAAATGCAAATCTAGGAATAATTTATAAGAAAGACGATGACACATCGAGATGTCAATGCAGCACATATATATATATAGAGTATATTAATAAGTTCTTTAACCCAGTAAATCAGCCAATTAAGGCAATAAACTTATCGTGATTTCGTAAGTTTCTGGTTTGTTACGTTATTTTCCGTAATTAAAAAATTATAATAAAAAAATACCCATTATAAATAATATTCACACAGTCAAATCTGATCAAATCGTTTCTATGAAGAAAGAATTCTTTTTACGGCATTGAATGCTAGCAACGTACATTTTAATAAAAATGTTTAATTTATACGTTTGGTAGTAGTGTTCAATTTCTTGCAGAGCAAGTAATTGGGGGTAAAATACAAACATCAAGAACCATCATTCTGTGCAGGAAGCCCCCGAACATAATTTTGGTTGACGTAAACATGACTTCTGCATCATACATCAGTCGCGTACTTCATAGTCGAAATGTCTTCAATCTTTGCTAAACGTTGTTCAAAAGTTGGTTAATTGCGTTAGAAATGTTTATGTTTAACGTATGATAGTCATTAGACAAGTTTATATATTGTAAGCAGACGACAATTAACCTGCCACAAACAAATAAAGCACGCAAATGACCTACATCTGTTGCAGCACGTTAAACGTTCTGCATTTCCAGCTGCGCGAGCCGTCAAAACGTATAAGGCACTTGATACACGCGGGAACGCATACCAAACAAATCATGATTAAATCATTAACTTATTCTTTTATTTTGGTAACTTGCCTGTTCATGCACTGTAAGGTATCATTAACTTATATATCCTGACAGAGATTCAATTTTTTTAACGGCTTTAGGACCCCCCGCCTCCCCATATCAGATGCTCTCTGCTAATGTATTCCCTCACAACCCCATAAAGCACAACGGTCCTGGTACACACCGTACAATCAAATGGGCAGACAGCTGTTCCAGCGTCCACAGCTGTACCAGTATATACATGTCAGCGCGGGGAATACAATTGACGTACGATAAGTATTCATCTATTTTAACATATCCAAACTGTGTTCGAGTAAATCAGTGTTATAGATTCATAGTCCACATCCAAAGAAGCATCCTAACAAATTTCTGGCTTTGTGCAGGCTTTACTTCACATGAATTTTGACTGAAAATAATCACACTATCCGATGAGATGCGGTATTTTTCGTTTGAAATCACAAAAACATATATTTTCATAGATAATTAATCCTTTTTTTCATACGATTCGTAAACGTCAACATTTTGTCATTAAATATTCCAAACCATACCTTCAAAAAAGCTTTTCTGTTAAAGTTATAAGGTATTAAAGTTTGTGTGTCATCAAAATTTTAGTAACGTCATCAGCTGTTCGCCTCTTTTTAATGATAACATCGACAGCAATTCATCGGCAAGGATGAATAACGCTGAACGCTGTTCAAAGAAACAATTTTCAGCGCTTTTGTGCTACAGTAACTAGGAAAAAGTAAAACTTTTTTGTTCATTTAAAATATTACTCTATTCATGATACTTTCTAATTATATTATTTTTATTATTACTTTCTATCATTTGTTGCATCTTAGCTGAGAGGCCTATATCTCCATTTACCGCACTGTATTTCAATATTAATATTGTTCATATGAATGAATGAGTGAGTGAGTGAATGAATGAATGAATGAATGAATGAATGAATGAATGAATGAATGAATGAATTAATTAATTAATGAACGAACGAACGAACGAATGATGCAATATACATATTTGTTAAAACAAATTGTCGGTAGAAAGTATATGAGTTGTAATATTCTAAAAATTACATATTATACATTCATTTTTCTTCCTGTGCATGTCCTGTTGTTGTTGTTGTTGTTGTTTTCTATCTCAGAAGGCCACATTGGAAATAAGATATAGATGATTGTTATTGTATGTTATTAATGTATAACCTTCTTTAAATAAAGATATTATTATTTATTATTATTATTATTATTATATAAAAAGGTAGCAAGATCTATTAATATGTTTCTGAAATGTTAAATTCAAAGAATGTAAAGGCAAATTTAACGCTTAATACGAATACTCTGTATTATAACTAAATCAATCAAGTGTTATCATAAATAATGGCATATAGTAGACATGTCCTATGCAGTAAATGGATGTGTAACCCGAGATGTCTGCCATATAAAATGATTTATTTAAAAAATGAAAATTTAAATAAATTTTAAGAATGGTTATTATTTCTATTGCACTATACATTAAAGCAGATTTCTAGGATAAATAACAACATGTTTTTCCATGCACTTTCATATCTCGGGTTACACAGCCATTCACTGCATAGGACTTGTCCATTATATGCCTTTATTTATAATAACACTTGATGGTTGCCTTCATTTACAAGACTGAATATTCATATTAAGCGTTAAATTTGCCTTTGCCTTTTGACTTAAACATTTCATAAACCTATTACAGGAACTCCACTGAGGTTTATAAGCCTAAAAACATGAAATTTTATTTTTTCACATAAAAAAAACATGAGCACTAAAACATAAATATTAATAAAATATAACCAAGAAATATAGGAGAAATACATTGAAAATCATATGTTTTGTGCTATTCTCAGTCCGATTTGAGTGAAAAGCGTTTAAACTCTTTTCAATTTTGGGTCATTTTTTCACTATTATAATATTCTGGAAAAACGGAAAAAGCTAATGATCGGAAATTTTGCATATAAGTTATTAGTATAGATCTACATCAAATGGAGAAATAATCTCAAAAAATTATTTCCAGTCCCGTCATGTCAAAAAACCTTGGAGTCCCTTTAATAGGTTTTGCTACCTTTTTATATTGAAATACAGTGCGGTAAATAGAGATCAAGGTCTCTAACCTAAGATATAACAAAAAATAGAAAGTAATTATAAAAATAATATAATTAGAAAGTATCATGAATAAAGTTATATTCTAAATTAACAAAAAAGTTTTACTCTTTCCTAGTTACTGTAGGACAAAAGCGCTGTTGTTAATATATGTAATTGTTTCTTTGAACAGCTTTCAGCGTTATTCGTTCTTGCCGATGAATTGCTTTCGATGTTATCATTAAAAAGAGGCGAACAGCTGATGACGTTACTAAAATTTTGATGACACACAAACTTAAATACCTTATAACTTTAACAGAAAAGCTTTTTTGAAGGAATGGTTTGGAATGTTTAATGACGAAATGTTGACGTTTACGAATCGTATGAAAAAAGAATTAATTATCATGAGAAAATATAAGTTTTTGTGACTTCAAACTAAAAAATACCGCATCTCATAGGATAGTGTGATTATTTTCGGTCAGAATTCATGTGAAGTAAAGCTTGCACAGGGCCAGAAATTTGTTAGCATGCTCCTTTGGATGTTGACCATGAATCCATAACATTGATTTACTCGAATACAGTTGGGATATGTTAAAAATAGATGAATACTTACCGTACGTCAATTGTATTCCCCGCGCCGACATGTATATACTGGTACAGCTGTGGACGCTGGAACAGCTGTCTGCCCATTTGATTGTACGGTGTGTGGTAGGTTGTGAGCCTACAGTCTCATTCGGTAGCCTGTTGACACACTATTATTATTAAAACAAATCGTCACCGTGTCTTCTGAGGAAACTCAGAAAGCTTCTTTTCTGCATGTAAAACTAACACCCTCATGGGTGAATCTTAGTATTTAATGCTGTATAATATAAGATTTTATAAAAACTAGTTTTATTACATTTTTTTCAAGATTTTACTTCAGAATAAACCAAAAAATGATAAGGAATTTTTCCCCTTTATCTTTTAAAGATAAGTGTATTTTGTAATTAAGGATGTAACAATTTGTGTGTATTTGGATTTGTTTACCCTCACCACCGGAAATAGACCATGTGGGGAAACTTAAGTGAAATTTTATATATGCATATATAATTATTCTTCCAAAACAATTTCAAAACATCCAAGGGTATGTTTAAATATTACTGCAAATGTTTATACGCATTGTAAGTAATCTTTAAAATATATGCATTTATTTCTTTTTGAAAAT